GCTTATTCCACTGAGCCATCTCCCCGGGCCTCATAATGGTTTTAAGGATTTTAAAATTATACTCATTGCAATTTTAAGTGATTTTCAGTAAGTAAATGTTTTGCTCAAATTATTTGGCTCCTCTTAACTTTAAACAGCATATCTCCACCCTGCTTCTCTATTCCAGCTATCAATTTGCACATAGCAATGTTCTCTTAGCAAAAGACATTTTTACAAAAACTAAAGACTAAAAACAATGTTGTAAGTTGTTTGAAAATCAGAATTCACTCAACTGTGAGTAAGAATTAGTTGGTGGAATAGAAGAATGACACCAAATTAAGGCTTCTCAAGTAGACTGGGTTAGTCCTGGGTGAATAGATGGGCATACTCATTTATTTAGCTGGGTTTTCTGCCCTCCACTTATGAAACATACATTTTTCCTAAACACCATGTAGGGAAGACTTCAAAAACTATTCAAAGTTTCCACTTTTGTTCTTTTACCCAGAAACTATTCTAGTGGCATGATAAGTGGGATTACTTAATTTCTTTTCTTGGAGGGAGATTATTGTGCAATTTACTAATTTATGATATTCACCATATCCAACCTAAGCACAGCAGCTGGAGAATGTTCTAGTGCACGCAGGAGCCCACTATTTGTCCTTTGATCCGAAGCTGATGGCTTTCACTTCGGGCTAAGGTTGAATGCTGGTATATGCCCGCTTCCTTATGCACAGGGGACGTTCCAAGCTTACATCTTTTGATATCATTTCCGTGAATCGTGGAGATCCCCCCATCCTTGGGAGGCACTGTTTTGCAAGCCCAGTGCTTAATATTTGAAACTCAAAATGCTGTTTTCTGCCACAGCATCCTTCCCCATTTTTATTTCACTTATTTTAAAAACCAAACGCACCTTATATTTTTTGAAGAGTGTCAGATGTACAGGAAAATGAGCAGAGAATGTGGAGACTCCGTGAACACCCACAGGCGCGCTTCTTGTTGTCAAAGCTGCCGCAATCAGGGCGATGGTATCCCCAGAACTCGTGGCTTGGATCCCAATACCTGACGTAATAGTGGATCCTTTGGGGGAGGGCTGAGTGAGTCGGGAGGGCTGCGCCCCAAGGAATGAGACGAGTGTCCTTGTAAGAGGTGTGGTAGCCCCCATCTTCGCCCCCAAGGACTAAACACAAGGTGCCACCTTTGAAGTCTGTGAAAGAGTGAGACCTCGCTGGCTGCTGACTCCACCAGCGCTCTGATCCCGCACTTCCAGCATCAAGAACTGGGAGCACCACATTTCTGTTATTTAATGAAATAACAGAAATCTAGTGTAAGGTATTCTGTGACGGCATCCGGAAGTACGAGGATTGCATCCTGCACTCTGATGTATTTATTATAACCAAGAAACCCAAAGCGAATTCATTATTGTCAAATCCTTACTATCTCCCTCCCTCCCTCTCCCCTCCCTTCTCCCTTTTCCCTTCCTTTCCCTTCCTCCTCCCCTCCACGTCCTTCCCCTTCCCACTTGCCCTTTCCTTCCCCTCCTTCCCCCTTTTCTTTCTTGCTTACTATTTTCTTTCTGTGGTATGGAGGATTGAACCCAGAGCCCCACCTCATTTTTTTTTTTTTTTAGGCAGGGTCTCACTAAGTCAATAAAATGCCCAATCTGGGTTCAAAATATGATCCTCCTGCCTGAGGTTCTCATGGTGATGGAGTGAGAAAAA